TGCTGCTGCTGTAGCACTGTCAGCTGCTGCTGCTGTGCACTGTCACTGCTGCTGCTGTAGCAATAGGTCAGTGTCATTTATTACTGTCATGTAGCTGTAGCACTGCAGCATACTATATTGTAGCAGTCACTACTGCTATTGTCATGATCCTTTCTGTGTGTGCCTAGAGAAATGTAACCATGGGAAAAATTTTTAGTTCTCAGATAACCAAAATTGGTGTCATGAGACGATTAATTATTTCCATTGATTAATCTTTCTAGGAGAAAATTCATCCAGTCGACTAACATTCGCAGGTAACAGGGAAATCCATGGAACAGTGTCATTGAATTACAAATGTTTGCAGGATTTCCATGTAGTGCATAACAGTTTTATAAAGGTCTGTTCTGAAGTATATATGCTAACTAGGACAGCTACCTTACTCAGGAGAAAAGACTCTCATTGGACAATTCTCATCGTCTTGCTGCGATATAAAGTAAGTGTCATTATTCTTTTGTGAGATACATGCAAAATATATTATGCTTATAACCTGTACTTCTGTCAGGCCTGTTTTTGTCGTGTAGGCAACATAGTAAATGTAAGATAAATTTTTTCATACTTGGGTTCCTTGGCAGATAATGATTTCCAATTCTGAATGGGATAAAATTGCCAATTGTGACATAATGATAATTTATAATTCATGAGCCTCTAAGAACATGTAGATAAATATCGTTATGGGTCAAACGAAAACATTTATGCCAAAGTCGTTTCCACCTGTGTATCTTACTGCTGATATGACGTATTAGCCATGTTGACAAATCAAAACTCGTCATTACATTTCTTGACATGATAGTTATGCTGAATGTGTGATAAATGAATACATTTCAACTAAATATACCGTTCATTCTGTCCAGCTGGTTTCTCAAGGTGGACAAGTAAGAGTAAGATAAAGTTCACTGAGGTGTTCACAAGGGGTAGAAATTAGGCCATGTGGTATGAACAAAATGGGATTTTGCTGCCAATCCACATACGGTTTGCTGGTGGATACTGACTTCATAGGTGGTTGCGGGTGGTTGTGGTTGTGGTGCCTGGTGGCTGACGCTCCGCTTTGTCCTTGAACTGACGAGTCAGCAGCGTGGGCTGGTGAGTCACGTAATGGCGGTGCCACTACCATCACCACTACCACCATTCCACTGATGCCTGTGGTCTATCCATGCCAAGTGTAGCCACATCATCCTACTATCACTACCTAAAACGTGTGGTATGGCCACGGATGTACTCGGGATGTACTTCCGTCCCTGGGCACAGCATAGGGTACACTACCGAGTGCATGTGGCGGGAACATACCGACGCATCACTGGTGAATATGAGTTCCTCACTATCACTACTAACTGTGTCGGAGTACATACTCGCACGCACTAGTACACTACGAGTCAGAGGCACGCCACGTGAAAATATATTTTCCTCACAATCACTATCAATGACTGAGCGTAATAGATCACATTCCTCACTATATCATCATTACTGAAGTCAAGGTCCTGGCCACGTGAAAATTTAGTTTTCTCTTGCGCTAGGCACAATCCGACCGTGAGTCAGAGTGCACCACACTAGAGTAGAAGGTTGAGGATCCAAGGGTTTTCCTGGACTATTATCGATCATTCATGGTCATTCTTTCGGTCATAACTGATCAAGCTTGTAGAATTCGTCTTCTTTACCTTCCATCAGTGTCAAAACTATCAGATAGGAAGAGGAGAGTCCCAATTTTCCGGGGAGTGAGAGCTGACTTGCGACGAGGTATGGTGAACAAGGGTAACTGAGCCGGCATTCCCACAATGCTATGCGGGTGCCTAGATTTTTTGTTTATGGCGCACACCCACCACGCAGACCCGTTCTCTCACATGTAGGCCTGAGCGCTTTCGCGCTAAATTTGACGGCACTAGAATTTTGGCGTAGATCTACGGTTTGGACACTCAACGTGAAGCCGTAGATCTACGGGATGGACCCTGAAAGGGTTAAAACTCACACTATCGCTACACTCAGAATTCATTGATTTTCCACGAAAACCCATACCACTATCTATTTCTAGTTTAAAGACCTAACTGCTCCCTCAACTGCGTTGGCCGGTGCTCCCACCCCAAACCTAGATAAGTGAACCCCATCCCTGGCATACATGTCATTTCTGCCATAGAAGAGGTCCCAGTTGTCAATGAATGTTACTGCATTTTCCTTACAGTATTTGTCCAGCCAACAATTGACACCAATTGCCCTGGACAACCATTCATTTCCAACTCCTCTCCTTTGCAAAATACCAATACATGTATATGACAGGTTTCCCACCCTTCCTTCTAATTATCTCTATTGCTGACCTATACCTGCTAATCAGGTCCTCACTCTTATATCTGCCAACATCGTTGCCTCCAGCACTGAGACAGATAATAGGATTGCTCCCATTACCTCTCATGATGTCATCCAGACAGCTAACAATATCCTTCATCCCAGCCCCAGGAAAACACTCTCTCTGCCTCCTACTCCTATCCTTCAAGCAGAATGCCCTATCCATGTACCTAATCTGGCTATCCCCAACAAAATTTTTTACCTTCCTTGGCGTCGTCCGTCATGATGCTCCCAGTAGTCGACTCACATTTGTCAGGTAGCATTACATCTTCACTTGTGGAATTCATCAAGACATTCTCGATGATTTTCATTGGGGTTTCTAGGGATGTCTCACTCACATCACCCAATACTTCCTTGGTGCTCGTTGTGACATTCCCAGTAGAACACCCATATTCGTCAGGTAGCACCGAAAATGGGTTGGAAGTTTCCACAGTAGTCTTCTGGGTCCTCATTGTTTCTGCCTCTCCAACAGTCTTCTTGATCCTCAGCTTGGTTCCATGTTGCCTGGCCACTAACCAAGTTCCCCTCTTAACCTGGGGACTCACAACAGGAGGATTACTTCGAATCCTCTTGTTCTCCTCCATTAATTGCCGCATCTCCTGCTTAGCAACCCTAAGTTCTTCTTTCAGCTGCTGGTAAAGTTGCTGAAGAGAGGGCATCCTGGTTCAGATTCAGAGAGAGCACACAAGCAGGTCTTCACAAAGCTAAGTACACGTCACCACCTGGAGAGAGTTCCGGGGGTTAACGCCCCCGCGGCCCAGTCTGTGACCAGGCCTCATGGTGGATCAGGGCCTGATCAACCAGGCTGTTACTGCTGGCCACACATAATCCAACATACAAACAACAGCCTGACTGGTCAGGTACTGACTTTAGGTGCCTCTCCAGTGTTTGTATTACATAGAAACATGTCAATACCTATGGGTATATCCCATTTCATCCCTGGTAGACAAAACATCTCAACAAAATTATATAAACTGCATACTGTCTTACTAACATACCATTAGTCTTATCTGAGCAATTGGAGCCCACCTAAGTCTTAACATTCTGGTCCCTCCCATGATGAAACCTGGCTGTGACCTCGGCACTACAGGCAAGTACTGCTTTACATAAGAACATAAGAAAGAAGGAACACTGCAACAGGCCTACTGACCCATGCAGAGCAGGTTCATGTCCCCCTCCCCGGATTAGCCCAATGACCCCCCCCCCAGATTAGCCCAATGACCCACCCAGTCTGGTCACCTCCACTCCAGGATGGAGCACGGCACCAGACCCAGCAGCACAAGCTAGTCAGGTCCAACTCACACCCATCCACTCCCACTCATGTATTTATCTAACCTATTTTTAAAACTACACAATGTTTTAGCCTGAATAACTGTACTCGGGAGTTTGTTCCACTCATCCACGACTCTATTACTAAACCATTGCTTTCCTATATCCTTCCTGAATCTGAATTTTTCCAACTTGAAACCATTGCTGTGAGTCCTGTCTTGGCTGGAAATTTTCAGCACGCTATTTACATCCCCTTTATTTATTCCTGTTTTCCATTTATACACCTCGATCATATCCCCCCTAATTCTAAGCCTTTTGAGAGAGTGCAGATTCAGGGCCCTCAGTCTATCCTCATAGGGAAGATTTCTGATACATGGGATCATCTTTGTCATCCTCCTCTGTACATTTTTCAGAGCATTTATATCCATTCTGTAATACGGTGACCAAAACTGAGCAGCAGTCTAAATGAGGCCTAACCAAGGATATATAGAGTTGAAGAACAACCTAAGGACTTCTATTATTTATACTCCTAGATGTGAAGCCAAGAATTCTGTTAGCTTTATTGCGAACACTAATGCACTGTTGTCTTGGTTTTAGATTACTGCTAACCAGAACTCCTAAATCCTTTTCGCAATCAGTAGTATTAAGATCTACATTATTTAGTTTATATGTGGCATGGTTATTTAACTGTCCAACATTTAGAACTTTGCATGTCAATATTAAACTGCATCTGCCACTTCTCCGACCATTGCATCAGTCTATTCAAATCATCCTGAAGTGCTTTAGTGTCCTCATCAGAATGAATTGGACGGCCTATTTTGGTGTCATCAGCAAATTTGCTTATGTCGCTATTTATTCCCTCGTCTATGTCGTTTATGTAATTTGTAAACAACAACGGGCCCAATAGTGCTTTGCTTTATGGAGTATCACTAATGCAGTGTTTTTTAATTATACCCATTCTTCATTTATTCAGACTTACTACAAAAAAAATATATTCACCACTCAATGTAAGCTAAGGACAAAAATATTTGAAAGTAATGTATGTACTGTATGTGTATTTTTTAGGCCTAACTCTAATGCTCACTTAATAAATGACAGTGTAAACATGTTATAAGGCTTTTATATGTCTATGATTCACTTTACAGTGATTTTTGCTTTACAGCAGTAGCCCGGAACCTAACCTGCTGTACAAGCAGTACCCGCTTGTACTCATGAGAATCTGGTACAACATGACAATAACTTTTATGATTGTATTGTCCTTTCTAGTGTTGCTAGGTACAACTACACAGAGCATAAATGCAGTATCTATCGTATAATACAGTATACTGTATACTTTTTAATTATTAACCAGGGAAACTCACCTGACTCAAGTGTGGAAATCTCAGATGAAAAATTCTTGTTATTTGCTTCCTCTTGTAACTCATGAACCTGTTTTTTTTCTTTTTCACTTTTTGAGGATATGTGCTCCTGTACAACTGGGTGATGAATATCTTTTTCGTTCAAATTCGAACCTGCTTTATGGGTGGTTTTCTTTGGGATCGTGCTCTGACTTTTTGAAAGGGCACTGATGGAAGAAGCTTTCAATTTACCTCTATGTCTAACACGTCCATGACTATTAGTAACGTGTGCAGATTTGCTTATCCTACTAACTGTAGTTTTTTTTTTGCTACTTTGTGACAGTGCACTGCTCGCTTCATGGCAGTATTTTGTGGACATTTCATCATAAATGGAGCACCTGGTTAGATCACTCAGCTTATAAATAATCTTGTCACTTATTACATCTTCTGGTTTCTCAAAATTCCAATACTCAACTGGTCTGATGGTTCGTCGGCCAGACCGACGGACCTCTGTTTCACCAACCATATTTAACCCTTAAATGGTCCAAACGTATATATACATTTTTTCAACATTTGAAAGTATGTAAAAAAAATGTAGATCTTCTTTCTTGTTTTACATTTGAAAATGTGTAAAAAACTTTTATCTACATTTTCTTTGTTATTTATGAAAATATGTAAAAAAAAAACGTAGACCTACTTTTGGAGCACTACGAATTTGAACGTCGATCTGTTTGGACAGTTTAAGGGTTAAAGCAACAAGAGAGGAAACAAACTCATCAATTGATCTCACAAAATTCTATACATATATGTATACTTGTATAGTTTGCTCGAAATGCTCAGCATACAGAGGGGCTTTTGGCATGTACACCCAACTATTATATTCCTCTGTACAACCATGTAATTTGTCAAAATAAAAAATCTAATCTAATATACCGCCACTTATGCTTTTTCAAAATACATATAGTATTTTTTTTTCTAAACTTCAAATATTTGTCCAATAATATGCAATGTAATACTCTATTTCTGTGATGACTAGAGGAACCTTACGTTAAGAATGCATGATAAGTTAACTATGCAGAGCATACATACAGTAATATATAGCCCAGTATTTATAAAAAGTCGCATACAGACACCACAATTTTACTTGTGCAAAGCATTACTTAATTTCTTTGAATACTGTATATTATAATCAATATGTGAAAGGCTTTATGCATGTTCCACAAAATGTATTCCTGTATCTTCTGTCCAGATTCTTGTGGTACAAGATTATTCAAGTATAGTTCCTAAGACACAAATCTGAGCATATGAACAACTGTTAGTCTATTTTGATGAGAACTTCGAGTTCATCCAGCGTATGCCAGTTGTTTCTCTACAGCCAGTCCTGAAAAGTAAAAAATGGAAATACAGTACTATAATACGAATACAAATTTATTCATAAATGTTGGCATATTAATAATAATTTTAACATTTAAATGCAGCCATTAATTAACAATTTACACAAATGACCTACCGAATGTGTCACAGCCACTCAAACCCATATTATTTACAGATGACACAACATATGTCTTCTCTCCCCCAAACCCAGTCATACTGGCTAACACTGTTAATGCTGAATTACAGAAAATATCTACCTAGATGATGACAAATAAGCTTTCCCTCAATACTGACAAAACCTATTTTATTCAGTTTGGAAACAGAGCTGCAAATGTTCCACTTAACATAATGCTAAACAGATCACCCATCACAAGACTCACAGAGGGAAAAATCCTTGACAGTAGCCTCAAATTCCATACACACATACAACAAATTTCCCAAAAAATCTCTAAGACAGTAGGCATACTATCAAAGATATGGTACTATGTTCCACAATCAGCTCTTTTTGCACTGTATCATTCACTCATCTACCCTTATCTCACATATGGAATTTGTGCATGGGGATCAACAACATTAAATCACCTAAGACCACTAATAACTCAGCAAAAGGCTGCAGTCAGAATGATAAATTCCCACTCCTGACAGCCTACTCCACCAATATTCAAAAGTCTAAAACTGCTCTTCTCAAAACCCACCTACTCACCCTAAACTAAATACTCAATATTTAACTAACAAAAAAATCTCCCAATTACCTAAATCTTAAAACTTCAAATCTAGATGCCCAAATTTCATACAATATTAATGTACTACACTGTATTATAAATACCTACCCAAAACAATACTGCCTTATACCCAATTTTAGCATTCTTGTACTGTAAACTTCTTTCAACAACTCACAATGTTATACATGTACAGTGGACCCCCGGTTTACAATATTATTTCATTCCAGAAGTATGTTCAGGTGCCAGTACTGACCGAATTTGTTCCCATAAGGAATATTGTGAATAAGATTAGTCCATTTCAGACCCCCAAACATACACATACAAACGCACTTACATAAATACACTTACATAATTGGTCGCATTGGGAGCTGATCGTAAACCGGGGGTCCACTATATTCCCATAACATAATTACAATATTCATTATTGAAACTATTGTAATAAGAGTAAAATTACTGTCTACTATAAACAAAAAAGGATGCAAACTTAAACTATGATTATTTTCTTTAGTATTAAGTAGTCTTTAAGCCATTAAATTAAGTCTGCCCATAATGCCTAGGCATGATAGTGGCTCTCTTTGCACTGCAACTCATTATTGTAATTTCATAATCTCATTGTAATCGTGCCAAGAAATAAAATTTGATTTGATTTGATGTACCGAATATCATAAACCACTGGACAGTGTATTTATACAGTGGACCCTCGGTTATCGACTGTTCTGCTTATCGGCCAGTTTTCGGCTTCTGGTTATCAGCCATTATTTTGCTTACTGGCCATATGGTATGCATCAACCCATCACCGCCAGCCGCTCGCGCATCAGCCTGGCTTTGTCTCTGGGCAAGTGAGGAAGCTTCAGCTCATTCATCCAAACATTTTGGTATAATCCATTGTTTTTCATGGTTATTGATTAAATGCAACTGCAAAATAAGTAACCATGGCCCCAAAGGAAGCTCCTAGTAAAATTCCTTTGGTAAAGAAAGTGAGAAACACGATGGAATTTAAGAAAGAAGTTGTTGAAAAGTCTGAGAGTGGTTTTTGAGTGCTAGAACTTGCCAGATGTATGGGAAAAGCAAATGAACAATCACTTTTATCCTGGCAAAGAAAGAACAAATCAAGGAAGCTGATGTGGCAACAGCAGTAATGTGCCAACCAAACAAAAGTCAACAATACCGGAATATATGGAGAAGTTGTTGGTTTTGTGGATCACCGAGAAACAATTAGCAGTAGATAATGTTGCAGAGTTGATGATTTGTGAGAAGGCAAGGCAGCTGCATGCGGATCTTGTAAAGAAAATGCCTGGAACAAATGGTAATGTTAGTGAATTTAGGGCCAGCGAAGGCTGGGTTGAGAGATTTAAGAAGCATAGTGGCACAAACAGTGTGGTAAGGCATGGGGAGGCTGCAAGTTCTGACAAATGTATGGCTGAAAAATTTGGCAGTAATTCAAGGGGTATGTAGAGGCTGAAGAATTCCTCCCCCAACAAGTGTTCAATTGTGACAACATAGGTCTGTTTTGGAAGAAAATGCCAAAAAGGACCTACATTATGCAGGAGGAAAAAGCACTGCCAGAACACAAGCCTATGAAAGACAGGCTTACTCTTTTGTTCTGTGGTAATGCTAGTGGGGATTTCAAAGTGAAGCCTTTACTGGTGTATCACTCTGAAAATCTCTGAGTGTCCAAAAAAAAAACAATGTCATCAAGAGTAAATTGTGTGTGATGTGGAAAGTTAATAATAAGGTATGGGTTACATGGCACATTCTCAAAGTGAGTCAATGATGTGTTTGGCCCAAGTGTGAAAAAATGCCTCCAGGAAAATAAATTGCCACTCTAAGTGCCTCCTGGTACTGGACAATGCTCCTGTTCATCCTCCAGATTTGGAAGACCCATTGTTTTGGGACTTTGGTTTTATAACAGTGAAGTTCTTGCCTTCTAACACCACTGCTCTCCTCCAACTCTTGGACCAGCAAGTCATTTCCAACTTCAAAATACTGTACACAAAAGTAATGTTTCAAAAGTGTTTTGAAGTGACCTCGGACACTGACTTGACCCTAAGAGATTTCTGGAGGAATCACTTCAATATCTTCAAGTGCATAAACCTTATAGGTAAGGCTTGGCAGGGAGTGACTTCCAGGACTTTGAACTTTGCTTAGAGAAAACTGTGGCCAGAATGTGTCCAAGAGAGGGATTTTGAAGGGTTTGGGGCTGACCCTGATGAACCTACATCTGTTGTGGAATCTACTGTGTGTCTGGGGATGTCCCTGGGGGAGGAGGTGAGTGGCCAGGATGTGGTGGTGGACGACCACAGGGAAGACCTAACCACTGAAGACCTGCAACACCTTCATCTGCAACAGCAACAGATCACAGCTGAGGAAATTGCTTCAGAGAGAGAGAAAAAGAGAGAGAAAGAGAAAAGAGAGAGAAAAGAGAGAAAAGAGAGAGAAAAGAGAAAAGAGAGAAAAGAGAGAGAAAAGAGAGAGAAAAGAGAGAAAAGAGAGAGAAAAGAGAAAAGAGAGAGAAAAGAGAAAAGAGAGAGAAAAGAGAGAGAAAAGATAGAGAAAAGAGAGAGAAAAGAGAGAGAAAAGAGAGAGAAAAGAGAGAAGAGAGAAAAGAGAGAGAAGAGAGAAAAGAGTGAGAAAAGAGTGAGAAAAGAGAGAAAAGAGAAGAGAGAAAAGAGAGAGAAAAGAGAGAGAAAAAGAGAGAAAAGAGAGAGAAAAGAGAAAAGAGAGAGAAAAGAGAGAGAAAAGAGAGAGAAAAGAGAGAGAAAAGAGAGAGAAAAGAGAGAAAAGAGAGAGAAAAAGAGAGAGAAAAGAGAGAGAAAAGAGAGAAAAGAGAGAGAAAAGAGAGAGAAAAGAGAGAGAAAAGAGAAAAGAGAGAGCAAAGAGAGAGCAAAGAGAGCAAAGAGAGAGCAAAGAGAGAGCAAAGAGAGAGCAAAGAGAGAGCAAAGAGAGAGCAAAGAGAGAGCAAAGAGAGAGCAAAGAGAGAGCAAAGGGAGAGCAAAGAGAGAGCAAAGAGAGAAAAGAGAGAAAAGAGAGAGAAAAGAGAGAGAAAAGAGAGAGAAAAGAGAGAAAAGAGAGAGAAAAGAGAGAGAACAGAGAGAGAAAAGAGAGAAAAGAGAGAGAAAAGAGAGAAAAGAGAGAGAGAGAGAGAGAGAAAGAGTCTATCAGCAGTCTATCAGCATCCTGTCGGCCAACATTAGAGGTTTCATTACTAATGTTGGAGAGCTCACACATAGTTTTGTGAACACTCGACGTCCCGACATGATAGCTGTTGTTGAAACATTTTTGGATGACAGGACTCCAGAAAATTTTGCAAGAATTGCTGGCTACACCTCATGGATGAGAAGAGACAGGCAAGGGCAAGGAGGAGGTGTTGCTGTGTGCTTCTCTAAAAGTGTTCATGCCCAGCACATTGATGTTGCCATCCCTACACATCTTGAAATGATGTTCTTCAAGCTCTGCATAAACACTAGTACCTCTGTACTAGCATGTGCAATGTACAGACCTCAGTGGCAACATGCAGACCCCATCAACTTCCTAATGGAAAATATTGACTCCCTTCTGCTACAACACAACTGTCAACATATCATAATTGTTGGTGACCTCAACAAGCACCTTATACAGAGGGACTTTGATGACCTTCTTGCAGTGTTTGACATGAGAAACTTTGTTTATTTCCCTACTCGCATCTCTGGCTCCTCCCTTGACCCAGTAGTGAGTGACCTGGCAGAAAGCATAGTCACTTGTCAACCCCTCGGCTATGTTGGATCGTCTGACCACAAGGCTGTTTTTACGACACTTAAGATCCCAACAGAACGAGGTGAGGAGTCCACACGCACAACCTGGCTATGGGAAAGAGGTAATTGGCCAGCCCTTCGCTCTGAGCTCGCCACCACCAAGGGGATGTTGACAACCAAGTGAAAGCCTTCACTGGACACATCCTTACTGGCAATATGTGACAAAGCCTACAGATCAGCCTTGGTTTGGCTTTCGTTGTAGAGAGGCTGCTACTGCTAAGTACAAAGCATGGCGAAGGTATAAGAAACATCCTACCACCTATAACAGGAACTTGCACAGGCAAGCCTGTAGGCATATGGGTGACGTTCAAAAGTGGGCCATTGCTAAATGGGAGGTGGACACTAAAAGAAAGCTAGCATCAGGTAGGGTAGGCTCCAAAACCTGGTGGTCCCTGGTCAAGGACAGACAAGGTTATCTGCCTGATGAACTCATTCCACCTCTAAACTGACAGGATGGGACCCCCTCTACTAGTAGTCAAGAGAAGGTAGACCATTTGCTGAACACTTTGCTACCAAAATGCAAGTTCCTGATCCAGCAAGGGACCCTCCTTGGCTAGTTGCAAGAACTGTGTCAAAACTGTCAGTGGTGACAATAAGGCAGGAGGAAGTGCATTTCCTTCTTAAATCACTTGACCAAGAAAAGGCTGTGGGTCCAGACAAGTTCAGCCCAAGATTGCTGAGAAGATGTGCAGACCAGCTAGCAGCACCTCTAACTCGCATCTTTCAGCACTGCCTAATACAGTGTAAATGGCCCTCTCTATGGAAAGAGGCAAATGTAGTCCCTGTTCACAAAAAGAGCAGAGCAGAAATCAGCAACTACAGACCAGTGTCACTCCTGTCAATCACTGGTAAGATCCTTGAGACAATAATCTCAAGACAAATGACAGTTTTTTGACTATCACTCACTACTTTGTGATCGTCAATATGGCTTCAGCAAAGGTTACTCTGCTGCTGATCTGTTGTTAAACCTCTCCACTAAGTGGCACCAGTCACTGGATGAATTCAAAGTCAGCTGTGTGGTAGCACTGGACATTGGGGGCGCTTTCGACCGGGTGTGGCACCAGGGCCTCTTAGCAAAACTTCAAGCACTGGGAATTGCAGGCTCTACGCTATGTCGCCTCAGTGATTACCTTCATGGTAGATCTCTAAGTGTAGTTCTCAATGGAACGGAATCAGCAAGACATCCTATTGGGGCAAGTGTTCCACAAGGAAGCATGCTGGGTCCATTGTTATGGAATGTCTACTTCAACGACCTTCTTTATCTCATCACAGAATCACATGCATATGCAGACGACTGTACACTGACATTCACTTATCCAAGAGAAGAAATGCCAGCTGCTCTAAGCTACATCAATCACCAGCTGAGAGCTATATCAGCTTGGGGAAATAGATGGCAAGTAACATTTGTACCTGAGAAAATGCAAATGATGATCATCTCTAGGCACCATGATGGTAATGCTGGTGCAGTAGTTAGGATGAATGGGAGGGTGTTGGCACCTGGAGAAGAAGTTGATATCCTTGGGGTGAAATCTGACTCCGAACTAACCATGAAGAACCATGTTGTAAATCTTGCAAACAAGGCAGCAAGGAAGCTTACAGCACTTCACCGTATCTCGCATCTGCTTGACAGTAGGGGTTGCAAGATTCTGTACGAGGCACAAGTACGCTCACACCTTGAGTATGCTCCACTTTCTTGGTTTGCCTGCCCCCCCCTCTCATCTGCGAGTGTTTGACAGAGTAGAGAACAGAGCAAGACGTCTCATCTCTCGCCTGGACCCATCCTGGATAGATCTGTCATTTCAGCAGAGCCTTCAACATAGGAGGGATGTGGGTGGCCTTACTGTTATGTACAAGGCCAATATTGTCAAAGTACCACACTTGGATCCACTTCGAGGACAGCGTGAAACAAGCTTTTATGCCACAAGACGGGCAGAAAGCAGCAACTTCACTCTGGCTGTACCCTTCTCCAGAACATCACTCCATCTGAGATCATACATACCCAGGATGACTCGAGTATGGAACACATTCGTACAGCATAATGATGTCAACGAGATAAAGTCAGTTGATCAAATGAAAATGCTGGCCCACAGATGGCTCCAACTTCATCCTGTTCCCTACTTGTATGTCTCATAACAATAAAAATGCTTTCAAATGAGCTGGTGTAGGTAACAGCTCTTAGCTTGCCAATCAAGTTAGGAATCCTTAACCTGTAAATAGCTTGTCAATAAAGCTAGGGATCCTTAACCTTGTTAAACCCGGTGTAAAAAAAAGAGAAAGATAGAGAAAGAGAGAAAATGAGAGAGAGAAAAAAAGAGAAAAAGAGAGAAAAAGAGAGAAAGATAGAAAAAGAAAGAGAGAGAGAGAAGGGGGGGGGGTAGAACATTTCTTCAGTGATGAGTGGAATGAGGTGCAAACTTTTGTGGAAAAATATCACCGTGACCAAGTTGATCTGCAACATCTTGTGACAAAACCTTCTCCCATTTTAGGCAAATCTTAAAGAGACGCCAGAAACAGAGCTGTCTGGACAGATTTTTAGTGCGACAGAGGAGCACTGACGCTCAAGCTGGTCTTGGTGCACTTAAAACAGAAAGAAGAAGAGTAACCGCAGATAAACTTGGTGCTGGAGTCTTGATTGACGGAGATTCCCCTTCTAAACAATAAATCCTTCCACAGGGATCAAACGGCACTGAATTATAGATAAGAAAACACTGTTAACAGCCCATTATTATTATTATTATTATAAAAAAGAAGCACTAAACCCACCAGGGTCTGTTAACAATCGAAAATAAACATATTTACTGCTTACTGACTTATTCTGACTGGGCGTCCCAGCAACTACACTTGTTAAAACTTACATTAATATCTTCTTTCATCTTACCATGGATAGTGTAACTAGCCAGACTATCTGACACCAGTAGTCTTCTTCTTCACCATAAATACAATTTAACTGAAGGTTGAGCACTTGTGTTGTTGTCGTTAATTTTGAACCAACACTCAGGCTCCTCCAGGGACCCTTAGTATAACTGTTTACAATATTAAATTACCATCTCTATATATATATATATATATATATATATATATATATATATATATATATATATATATATATAATTATATAATTTATATATATATATATATATATATATATATATATATATATATATATATATATATATATATATATATATATATATATATATGTATGTATATATATATATATATATATATATATATATATATATATATATATATATATATATATATATATATATGTATATATATATATATATATATATATATATATATATATATATATATATATATATATATATATATATATATATATATATATATATATATATATATATATAATATATATATATGTGTGTGTGTGTGTTTTAATCTTCATGCCTATAAAATGGAAAACAGATTGAAAATATGTCGCTTTGTCCGACTTTTCTGAATTATTCTGGGTAATTTACATTATAATAATAATCTTTATTTCTACAGTACATGTACAAGGTATACAGACCATACCTGACATCACTGACATATTACTATATATAAAGTACCTTATTATGCTGAACATTACCCACAAATTAGGTCAGTGTCCCAGCATGCGACCCACATCAGTCGACTACCACCCAGGTACCTACTTACTGCCAGGTGAACTTAAACAGCAGGTGCGCTAAGTAAACACGTCCTAATGTTTCCACCCGTACCGGGGATCGAACCACAGACCTCAGTGTGTGAACTGACTGTGCTACGAACCCAGCTACGGGACACCCAGCGTAAATAAATCACTTTGTCTGACATTTTTTGGGGGTTATCCTAGGTAAGTTACACGTATTTTACTATGTATGATAATTGTACTTATGTGTACCTGTACCTAAATAAACTTACACTTACTGAATGGTCTCTTTCATGTTCACTAATTGCTGATTATAATGGCTTACCCAAGAGTAGTCTTCGACAAGATTTACCTAAATGTGCAGCAATTTGAGCTCTGAATTGCCTCGTCGTCTTGCTACTGTACTGAGACTTAAATCTGGTGTTCCGTGGCCTGGTTGGTAACGCACTCGTCTCACTCAATCTCCGGCAAGGGTGGAAAGATTAAGTATGTTTCCTTACACTTGCTGTCACTGTCCACCTGGAGAGTTTACCTGGAGAGTTTACCTGGAGAGAGTTTCGGGGGTCAATGCCCCCGCGGCCCGGTCTGTGACCAGGCCTCCTGGTGGATCAGCGCCTGATCAACCAGGCTGTTGCTGCTGGCTGCACGCAAACCAACGTACGAGCCACAGCCCGGCTGATCAGGAACTGACTTTAGGTGCTTGTCCAGTGCCAGCTTGAAGACTGCCAGGGGTCTGTTGGTAATCCCCCTTATGTGTGCTGGGAGGCAGTTGAACAGTCTCGGGCCCCTGACACTTATTGTATGGTCTCTTAACGTGCTAGTGACACCCCTGCTTTTCATTGGGGGGATGGTGCATCGTCTGCCAAGTCTTTTGCTTTCGTAGTGAGTGATTTTCGTGTGCAAGTTCGGTACTAGTCCCTCTAGGATTTTCCTGGGTGTTAGTTTCCTTATACTTGCTGTTCCTGTTCACCTAGCAATAAGTAGGTACCTGGGTGTTAGTCTTCTTACACCTGCTGTCCCTGTTCACCTAGCAGTAAGTAGGTACCTGGGTGTTAGTTTCCTTACACCTGCTGTCCCTGTCCACCTAGCAATAAGTAGGTACCTGGGTGTTAGCTTCCTTACACCTGCTGTCCCTGTCCACCTAGCAATAAGTAGGTACCTGGGTGTTAGCTTCCTTACACCTGCTGTCCCTGTCCACCTAGCAATAAGTAGGTACCTGGGTGTTAGTTTCCTTACACCTGCTGTCCCTGTCCACCTAGCAATAAGTAGGTACCTGGGTGTTAGCTTCCTTACACCTGCTGTCCCTGTTCACCTAGCAGTAAGTAGGTACCCGGGTATTGGTCACCTTACACCTGCTGCCCCTGTTCACCTAGCAGTACTATCATTATAATCATAACTAAGCGCTAAACCCACAAGGATCATACAGCGCTGTCACCCAGCAGTAATACCTAGGTGTTAATGGACTGGTAACCCACCCTAACCTGGGTTAAAAATCCAATTTCTTGGATAAAAAGACTTTGACCAGCGCTCAGGGGCTAGTGCTATGGTAAGCTGTGAATATATTTTGAGAAATAGGCCTCTAGTGTACGCCTATGTAACCCGTAGCGATTCATTAATAAGGAGATTAATGAAACACTTCAAGGGAAAAATCCAGAATTTATTTGGTATATTTAATGCTACGTTTACATATCTACTTCTAAGATGGTTATATATAAAATATAAAAATGAAGGTTTCGGGGGGAAAAGTTCGGAAAGAGTGAGAGGCTAGGTGAGGGCGGGGAGGAGATCGAAGTCTGGCTAGGGCAGGTGGACCGTGCTGGTGCACCGTGGTGTTTTATCAGTAAGGAAAATGATTCCTTGTAGTTTTGAGTGTGTCTGGTTCAAGGTCTCCGCCCCAGCCTTCTACCCAGCCTCACATACAAGGTGCTCTCTCTCTCTCTCTCCAGCCATCACAATGTTCTAGACTGGAAGCTAGCACCTTCCCGAAACTACTCAAGACGGCAAGGGTTACACCAATACATAAAGGTGGTGACCCTACAGACTTAAACAACTATAGGCCAATATCAAACTTACCATTGCTATCCAAAATCTTTGAGAAGCTCGTGCACAGGAGACTATATTCATTTATAACGTCACAAAACATACTCAACCCCTGCCAATTTGGATTCAGGAAAAATAAAAGCACTAACGATGCAATTATAAAAATGCTAGATCTGCTTTACACAGCATTCGAAAATAAGGAATATCCACTAGGAATTTTTATTGACCTAAGAAAAGCTTTTGACACAGTAGACCACGGCATCCTACTCCACAAACTTGACCATTATGGTACAAGAGGCCATGCGCTTGCATATTTCAAATCTTACCTTACTAATAGGTATCAGTATGTCACCATTAAAAACACAGCATCAACAACACGGCCACTTGATACTGGAGTTCCGCAGGGAAGTGTCCTTGGTCCCCTGCTCTTCCTCATATACATCAATGATCTTCCAAACGTATCTCGACACCTGAACCCCATTCTCTTTGCTGACGACACGACTTATGTCATCTCTCACCCTAATCTTGCAACCCTCAACACCATTGTTAATGAGGAGCTGATCAAAATATCGACTTGGATGACAGCCAATAAACTTACGCTTAACGTTGACAAAACCTACTACATTAGATTAGATTTTGCCACCAAAGTGGCTAGTTTATTGTGCACCCCATATCCATCCTGTGGACGGTAGCGCGAGAGCATATGGATACACAAAAGGCCTAGGAACTAGGCCCCAAAGGGTTAACAGGAATACATATGGATTTATATCTACATATCTATAGTTCACTTATCTGTTACAAGCAAATTTAGGAAATTTGCTTAGTATATCTGGTATCTTATTTTCATTAATAAGATATCTTGACATGTCACATAGGTTATTATACTGTCTGTCTCTGTATTCCTCAATAAGTGGACAATTAAGCACATAGTGTTCAAGAGAGTGACCATATGCCTGATCACATAATTTACATTTAGTTTGATCATCATCTGTGTGTCTCACAAACTGCCAGAAGTACTTGTAACCAAGCCTAAGCCTGGCCACTACAACATCAGTCAGTCTGTTCACATTGCAAGTTGCTCCATAAACATACTTATCTACGTTCATGTTATCATAGTGGGTTATAGATCTACTCAGGCTTCTAACTGCATTCCTATAACAATCATTTTCATTATTTACTTCTCTCCTAATATTATTCCTAATGCTAGACACAGTTATACCAAAGTTATATTCTACATTCTCCTTCTCGATACTCTTCTTGGCTAACATATCAACTTTATCATGAAGGAGTAATCCAATGTGTGATGGGATCCATAGCAATTGTACATTAATTCCTTTGTCCCTAATTTTTGAGTATCTATACCTGGCTTCCCCAATGAGCATGTTGTTGGAGTCATTATATGAGTCAAGAGCCTTCAGTGATGACATAGAATCAGTAATGATGATAGAGTCAAGCTCAGTGTCATAGGTTAGCTTTAGCGCCATTAGGATTGCAAACAATTCAGTTTGCAGTGTAGACGCCCAGTTGTTAATTCTTATGCCTAACTCAACAAATTTATTATCGTTCTTAACTAGGGAGGTGGCAACAAGAGCAGATGCAGCCCTGCCAGAAGACTCCTGTTTAGATCCATCAGTGTATATAACTTGTGATAACTTGTTACTACTACATTATGTTTGGTAGCAGAGCAGGAGATGCGCAAATTAACATTAAGATCGACAACACTCTAATTACCAGGCATAATGAGGGCAAATTCCTAGGCCTATACCTCGACAACAACCTGAACTTCAGCACCCATATCCAACACATAACCAAAAAAGTATCCAAAACGGTTGGGATCCTCTCCAAGATACGATACTACGTGCCGCAAACTGCCCTTCTCACACTATACCTGGAGTTTACCTGGAGAGAGTTTCGGGGGTCAACGCCCCCGCGGCCCGGTCTGTGACCAGGCCTCCTGGTGGATCAGCGCCTGATCAACCAGGCTGTTGCTGCTGGCTGCACGCAAACCAACGTACGAGCCACAGCCCGGCTGATCAGGAACTGACTTTAGGTGCTTGTCCAGTGCCAGCTTGAAGACTGCCAGGGGTCTGTTGGTAATCCCCCTTATGTGTGCTGGGAGGCAGTTGAACAGTCTCGGGCCCCTGACACTTATTGTATATATCCATACCTCACCTATGCTATCTGTGCTTGGGGTTCAACTGCAGCAACACACCTAAAGCCAATAATAACCCAACAAAAAGCCGCAGTAAGAATAATCACTAAATCCCATCCCTGGCAACACCCCCCCCCCACTCTTCATAGATCTAAACTTACTCCCTGTTCAGTACATCCACACTT